CCCCCTGCTTTGTACGCTTTAGCCTACTGTAAATCTATTTACAACTCAATTGATTTTTATCGTCATTGAGTTTTTTGAACATTCCAAACTTCGAACTTACATTCTTTTCATTATGATTATAATAATATGCGAATCTTTTTTTCTAGAACAACATGGATTTCACTTATTGTATGTATGTTGACGAAACGCTTACTAAGGGCAATGCTCTGAGGCTTACCACTTTGGAGAAGTGTAACATGTGTGCGGGCTGACTGAGTGAAATTACTCATCCCCAAAGGAGTCAATTGTTTGCCTTTCCTGTTCGTTGAGTATTGTTTTTCTTTTGCACAAACCCCTCTAAGAGTGACCTATATCAGCCTGTTACGCATCTTTTTACCTTTCTTCTTGGTGTGTGTGAGAGTGATGAATGGGATGGTGTAAGTACCCGAATATTAATACCCAAATGTGTACATAGTGCAATTCCTAAGAGTAAATCCTTTGTTTATTGTTTTTATTATGCATTTATTTCTTTTCAAACTATTCGTATTGATTCTAGCAAAAGCAAAGCCATTAATATGTGTGCCTTTGACGAGTGCCAGACTGCGAATAGGAAACCTATTTATTAGCGAAGTCTACAGGTATGTTCTTACGAATTTATAGAAACCCATGGAACTGAGCAATTTAATGCTGACATTATTTTTATGTGCGTGTTTTACTACTTACTTAATCCATCCAATATTGATTATGTGTAGGCTTTATCATAAAAATGTTGATAAGCTTCTGTAAAAGACAATACTCAGGATTCTAATCGCCTTTCACGTAGTGCAAGCACCGATGTCCCAATCCCTTTCCTTTCCCTTGATTTCCTTTATGTTTTGAAGTATGGGAATAGCTATCTATCCTTTAATATGCTCTAAGATAATCAAACAAGGAGGCACTAAAAGCGTGTGGAGCAGATAGAGGATTGGAGAAAACGCATATGAGAAGGTGCGGCGTTTTGTGCACAAATAAGACCTGAACAAGACTGTAGGGTGGCCTTTACCATGGCAACATAGTCCGACCCATGTGGGAGAGTGTGACTTATCGCGTGCGCTATTTTACGGTTCTACGCTCTGGGAGGCTGTCACCTTTCGACGATGCAATTTCGAAGGACGCATTCCAAAAGACGTGGCAATCCATGGGAGCGTTTAATTTAGTAACTGTAGTTTCCAGTTCGCGTCGTTTGGGCTTATACGTAAACCTTATCTGAATGAAGGTACCGCATCCCTGGACGAAAGTAACACATTGTCATCATTTAGGTGCCGGGAAAGGTCCAGGCGTATCGATTTATATTTTTACAGGTGTGACTTCGACTTGATCAGCTTTGAAGATATTCATGGTCTCCACAACTCGTGCATCTTTGCTAATTACCTTAACGAATAGAATGCATGAGAATATCCACCACACTCAACATTAAGTGATTGACAATGGAGCAGTAGAAATCACTTGGAAGGGGTGCTGTGTGTGTGTATGAACGACAGTATCAGGAGGCTCAAAACCAATACTGTTCGTTGATAAGAGAGGATAACGTTGTGATTGATGTCTTTGTTGAGAGAACTTAGTGTGTTGGGATGCTTCTTTATTTTTTTTTGTTTAGTTGTAACATAACGAACAAAGGGTGAAAGCGCTAAACTTGGTTCTCAAAGTCACTCTTTCGCTGCACTGCGGACAGTTTTTTGATCTCAAAGCCTTACTTATTTCTGAGTGTCCATTTTCGAGACTTTCGTCAGCCTCGGCCTCAACCCTTTATGAGGCATTGTACGTTTTCTACGGCCCCTCGTGCCTAATAATTTTATCTTTTCATCCTTTCTATTTTCAAGGAACTTTAGTATTGATCCTCCTAGGTGTCTTACTGGACATGATGATCAAAGCGCGCGATGACCCATGGCCGAATGTGGCGAAGCACATCGAGACGATGCTGGCGGAGCTGACAGAGCAGCTGCAGCGCCTGAATGATATGGGAAATCCGACAATTATTGCGGAAAATGAAGTATTAGACGCCATTGCTAACTGCAAAGAAGTTGTCGAGGACATGCGCTTTGCGTACGATAGCGCAGTGGAGCACCCGGAGTCCTTTTCCATCCCCGTCGACGAATTAGAGCGCCGCGCTATGTGTCTTTGTAATTGGGAGCAAAATATCGAGAAGATGCAGCGAGCCGGTGGTAGCATCCGCTCCGGTCATCGCGCCCGATTGCAAAATAATGGCACGGTGTTGAAAAATTCGAAGAGCGAAGCCAACGATTTCATGGTCCAAGAGTTCAAAACCCAACGCCACATTATGCAAAGCGACGAGCAAACCTTGGAACGCCTTTCGGGTGGCATTCAGCGTGTGAAGGAGACGGCGGTGAACATCAACGAGGAGATGGTAACTCAGGAGCACGTCCTAAATGATATAGATCGCGGAATGTTTCGTGTGCAGACGCGACTTGGTAACACTGCCAAGAGAGTCAGTCAACTGATTGAAAAAACGAGTGATCGAGGGAAGATGATATGCATTACAGTGCTCTTTCTTATTTTGATCGTGCTCATTTTCTTCATTCTAAAATAGGTTGGGGGAATCATTGTGGAGAAACCCCTTTTTGGCAAGGCCTTTTTCGGAGAAGGAAACTGCTTTAATTACATTTCATATTCCTTTTCCGTGTACGATATTCATTTTTTACCTTCTTCGCTTAACTATTCAGTCCCGTGCTTCTTTTACCTGGGACTAGGGTCCACCAACTTTCCTTGTCATCATTGGTACTACTGTTGTTCTGGTATATATATACGTTGCCATTTCCTGTACACATATACATGCACACTTGACAAATTCTAAACCCTATGCCTCATTTCACTACTTCTATAGTCGTAGACAGCCAAACTTCCTCGATTCGCCCTAGCCCCATTGACATTGCTTCAACTCCATTCCCACACAGATACGAACCTAAAATGATCTTTCGCCACATCCAATCACGTTTCGTGCTGTGCCACGTCCTGCTGCTGCTTTGTGTGATGTCGTTCGCTGTTGGTGGGACGGAGGTGGAGCAGGGCGTGTCGCTTTACGGGTTGCTGCAGGTACCAGAGTCCTACTTTTCCCACCCCGACAGCGAGAACCCGCTCAACCAAGTCCAGCCTGGCAGTGTCTTGCTCACAAGTGCCCTTCATAACTACCGTGTCCCGGTCCAGAAGGGTGGCCTCTTCGTGGTGCCACGCGTGGCCTACGGGACCTACCTCCTGCAGGCCGAGTTTCATGACTTCATCTTCCCCACCGTCTTGCTAGAGGTGAGGTATATAGAAGACGAGCAGACGCATAGGCAGGAGAAGCCTGGGCGCGTTCCTGTGGTTCTGGCCTACGCAAATGACTTCTCCATGCGCCCGCTCGAGGGTACTGGTGTGGATGACATCAACCCGATCATTATTCCAGAGGAAGGGATTCATTTGTACCACGTTCCCCGTCAAGAGTTCCACATCATGGACATCTTGAAGAACCCAATGATTATAATGATGTTGGTTTCTTTTGCAATGTTTGGCATCGTCAAACTATTTCCAGAAGAGGATCTTAAGGAATCCCAAAAGGTGACTAGGGAGTGGCAGAATAAACTCCTTAGCAGTGCGAACAAAGGGATTGGTAATAAAGCGGCGGAATGAATAAATTTTCGATTGAAAGGTATAAAGCGAAGTCAAAGCTACCGGCATTATATATATATATGAATGATGTGTTTGAGCATCGAGGCTGATTAAAAAGGCCGAAGGCGAATAACAACAGCAGTAAGTTAGCATAAAATGTGGCACCCCAGTGTGATTCGATGTGTTGCATTAATAATTATATTCCTTTTGAGATCTTATGACATGTTGTAATAAACTATTTTTGTGACTTCGACAAATGGAGTATCTGGTGTAAAGCAATGCTATCTGGAGAATGTTTGCATGTTACTACCGCTGTTTTGAAGATGTGACAGGATAAGCACTCTGGATTGCAAAAAGCGCGTGCATTTGCATCAGGATTCAGGTGACCTTAGTCATACAGTTGCCCACCTGCACGAAAAGCGTCAAACCCATAAACACAAATTTATCCATTTGTAAATGTTCCACATTGAGAATCTGAGTAAATCTGGTGATAAGGCAATAAATGGGTCAAAGTGCATTTCCATGCAGATATAGCTATGCCGCGTCCAAGTCACTGAATCCTTTCATCATTGTGAAGGGAAGGGCTGGGGTGAAATGTGTGACATTTCGCATGTGGAAGGCACGATTATGTGGCGCGTGGCCATGACGCGAATGAGGCCAATAGAGTTCAGGTTATGAAGCTTTTAAAGGTGCACTGGGACTCGATCGCATGGACACCAGCGGATTGGGTGCGGTGTCCGTCTTACGCTTGAGCTCGTGTCGACGTTTACGATGCAGTCAATTCCGATGTGTGGAGACGCGACGCAGCCGTGAAGGTGGCGTGGATGGACGGCCTTCTGAGAACGGATGTAAACCGGAAAGAGACAAAATAGGTGTTGCTTCTTGTAGTCCAAAGATTGAGTACTGGACATAACGGTTGGCATTAGTATCACCACCGTTGATAACACTTGATGCTTTCTATTTTTTTACAGCTTTTTCCTTCTATTGTTGATCTATCTCAGTAAGGGCAACGGTAAAATTTTCTATTGCTATCGTTGATTTTCATAATTTTCTAGGACGCATTGGAAATCTTTATCCTTACATTAATAAATAATGCCACTGGGAGCTACTCTAACATACTCCCTCATCACGATTACTTTCTTGCTCCTGAGTACAGTCTCGGTGTTCTTTGGACATGCTGCTGCCAGATTTGGCGAGAATTCGAGCTCTGGCTCAAGGGGCGCTCACAATTTAACACCGGATAAATTGGAGAAATTAATTGGTGGAGAAAGACCTGCCTTACTTATAGTCTACTCATCGTCGTGTCTCAACTGCACGCGCCTGTCTAAACCCCTAATTGAAATCGCAGACGAGCTTTATAGAAACGAAACCGTCTCGGAAAAGCTAAACATTGGGGATTCTGACGCCTCGAAGTATCCCAAATTGGGAGAGCGATTTAATATAGCACAGTATCCAAGTCTCCTTTATTTTCCTCCTAATAAAAATAATCCGTCAAAACGCATTAATTCCAAGAGTTTCAATGAATGTATAACCTTTATCGAACTCATCCTAGACTACATCATCTCTAAAAACCAACCCGTTCCATCATCTGCACCAAGTCCAGTACCTCATCCAAAGGTACCTGAATCAAGACCTTATCCAAGGGTACCTGAATCAAGACCTTATCCAAAGGTACCTGAATCAAGACCTTATCCAAGGGTACCTGAGTCAAGACCTTATCCAAGGGTACCTGAGACAAGCCCTCATCCAAAGGTACCTGAATCAAGACCTTATCCAAGGGTACCTGAATCAAGACCTTATCCAAAGGTACCTGAGACAAGCCCTCATCCAAAGGTACCTGTTCCAACGCCTGATCCAGGTTATAAATCGATGGGTGTCAAGAATTTGGACTCGACTAGCGTCAACGAGCTTACCAAGCCTGGCCGGCAAAACCCCGTTTTAATAATGTTTTATGCAACCTGGTGCCCTTACAGCCAGGCGATGTTGCCCGTCTTTGATAAGCTACCTGAAGAATATAGGGACGACCCTAATATTGTCTTTGGCAAAGTAGACAACGATAAGTGGATTCAATGGGGTTATATGAAATCTCTTGGTGGAGGAGGGGTCCCAACTATTTTTTATTTCCCTAAAGGGCAGGGGAATCAGGTAAAGTACCATGGTGGACCTCATCTGAACATACTTCTAGAGTTCCTTAGAAGTCATAATCATGTGTAGCAGCGCGTACACACCTACCACACGAGGTCCTACGATGTTTTATCAGCGCAGTTACTACGAAAATGGATGAGTTTAATCTACGTGGAGTCAGAATTACCTTGCGCCTGTGCGAGGAGAAAAAGTAAAGGAGCGTTTACGGCTACCCCGAGTATGCGCAATCAAAATTCATTGTCTTTATAAAAGGTATCGTATTTTTAGGTTTACAATAATACTTCCCCCCTCACCCAAGTACTTTCTATAGATGTCTATGGATGTCATTACATTAATTTTCAAATTCTCTTTTCTTAAATACCGTAAAGAAATGTAAGGTAGAGTGAAGATGTGTAAATCAAAAGGATGAAATCCCTTTAAAAAAACATCATAGTCTCAATATGTATTCGAAAGACGAAGCCTTTTTCTGTCTAACTATTTTTTAACTAAGGTATCCATCCCAAACATGTAAATTTTATTCTTATGTCAACGTGAAATAATTTTATTTATTGCGATTCGAAGAGTAAGTTTTACACATTGATGAATCCCTTAGTGCGTATGCCTTGTGACGCGTAGATGACATGTGCCTTGGTGTTTCATTCATATTCTTCCTTTCCAGAGGTTTCCTGACCTTTTTGTTTCCCTACGTTCAATAGCTATAATCTAATCGATCTCCTTCAGCGATTAAGGGGCGCACATTTGTAGCTGAGGCGAACAGCATCCTTCGCCTTTTTACCATTGTCCCACCCTACTGACCGCTGGAGCAGAGGGTACAGTGAGGGAAGGATACCTCCGACGATAAAAAAAAGTACTTGCCTAGAAGCCTATATCAACAAATAGACAAACAAACAGTCTCAAGCACCTTTATTCGTTTCTTTGTTGAGCCCTCCTTTTCCATCACAGGAAGGTGAAAATGGAATATTTGCGTAGCCGTCTTTCTGGTGTTCGCTTCCGCCGTGCGCGGCTCCATGACGCCGCAGCGCTGCGGCAGTGGATGGATTCCTTGCAACCATGTGCGGACGGTGTTTTATCCCTAGCCACCTCCAAGGATAAGCCTGAAAGTGAGTCAGACGTCTTTGCGGGGCTCATTCAGACGTCTTATTTGTGCATCACGGCGGTAGCGAGTGCGCAGGAGAGCCTGCTGGTGGGCTTCCTGGCGTTGGGTGCCGGGCCTCGGCCTGGCGTTTCATCGAGCACGGATACACTGCAGAAATCCGCTGCCCCGGCTGGCTCTTTATCGAAAGAGGAGGAGAAATTAGTGGCCGCACTTGATGAGCCCCAATGGGATGATCTTCTGCGCGGTCTAGGCTACCTGGCCGCTGGTGAGGGCGCGGGCACGGGCAACTCCCTCGGGTACATTCAGCCCTGCAACACGCTGTGGTTGAACATGCTGGTAGCACCGCCTTCGACTTCTCATTCACGGCGTATTGCTCCTCCATACACCAGTGATAAGGAGATGCAGTCGGGACGTACGGGTCTTGGCGAGCTGTACAAGCATGAGGCCAAGACTTTCCGGAGTACAGTCAAGGAAAATCGGGAAAAGGGGTGTGACGTTTCAAAGCTCGTGTACTCTTCGATAGAACTTGCTCGGGAACTCCTGTGGGTGGCATTGGGTACGATGCAGGGGATCGAGAACCTTCTGTGCCCCCTTCCACAGCAGTCTATGCAGTTCAACATGCAGGACAGCGACTTTCTTCCGCAGCTGCGCGGCTTGGGTACCCTCTTATCCCCCACTCTCAAGTTTCCCATTGGAACAGGCCCTCTGCCACTTGTCTTCGCGCAGCGACAGAAAATTTTACACTTACGGCGACAATGTGTCCTGCCACGTTTAACGATTCGTCACGGCTGCCAAGAGGACTACGACGACTTTGTCCCACTTCTCCTCAACGGCGTCGGCGTGCGCATTCGGTTGCCCGAAGAGTTTTATCTGGAAGAGCTTCTCAAGAATCAGGACGAAATCCATAAAGTGCTTGTTGCCGAAAACCCTTTGACCTATGAAGTAGTCGGGCTTATCTGTGCCCATGTGATCTCGCTCGCGGAGCATCACGTGCTGTCGAAGTCTTATCAGATGGGGGCGTACGACAAATTGTTCGATAAAAACATGAGCTCTGCTTCGTTGGCTGCGAGCGGGGGGCTGGGGGCCACGCAGATGGTGCGAATCGACTTTTTGTACTGGGACACCGACTACGAGGGGTCCTCATGGGACTTGCTTTATGGGCTGTTTAGCGCTTTCCCGACGTGTGCGGATACCTTCATCCTACTGCCGCACGCCACGCGAGAGTCGAGTCTGTTAAAGAGCTTTCACTACGTCCCTATTCGTCCGTATGAGCCGTTCGCGAGTCGGGATGACATCGCACCCATGCCGGATGGGCTATGGATCTGTTCCCGCGACAGCCTTTCTGCAACCCGAGTGAGGTTGGTGCGTACGGTGGAAGATGTCTCTGAGGTAAAGAGCGAGCTGCTCCAAGCGCAATCTTATGATATGACCTACGATGAGGCGAAGAGGCTTTCCGTAGATCTACACCGTGCGGTGCGCGCGGAGTCGCCAAATACGGATGGACAACCAGATACATGCCTTACTGATGGTGAAGACACTAGAAAGAAGAGCCTCGATAAGGGGAGGACAATCATCTTCACTCTATCACGAATCGCTCTCGAGGGGCAATCGGCGACACCTTCAGAGTTGGTGGGTATGGCGTCTCTGTGCTCAATTACGGTGAAAGGATTGCATGCTCTACGTGCTAACTATGGCATTGACAATTACGTCTATTTTTATGCCCGACGCGGGCAAGACTACACTGCAACGGATATTTGTCCACCGATACCCTCCACTTGCACGGAAAACCTCAACGTGGGTGAGGCTAAGGATATGTGTGTGACAGCCATCTTGATTCGTAGCATGTACGTGAAGACTATCTATCAGGGTTGGATTCGCCTTTTCGTTCGAGAGCTGCTGCGATTGTGCAGAGCCGACATCGCGGTGTTGTTCCCCGTGAGGGAGCAGGGCCAGTTGTTCCCCCCCCTCATCAGGGAACTTCTCCCTTGCCAGCCTCGACGCGTGGTTGAGCAGACGGCTGTGGAGGACCTTACCGGCGCAGCGGCCGCGTCGGTGCTAGCGCTCGACCCGAGGGCCCTGGGATCTCTTTTCGTCACGACGCCTCGCTACCTGGGGGATGAAAAGGTGAGCTTGTATGCGCGTATCGTAGTGGTTGGAGGCAGCGCGACGGCTTTGAGCTTTTTCCATCGGCTCCTGAGCGTCCCCTACGTGCGCTTTGTCAACCTTGTTCTGGTTTCCACAGACGGCTTCCCGCTCCACGCGAACCAAGCGCAGGCGGACCCCGCCGAGGTGCACGCCGACGGCTTTGGTAGCCATCACCGAGGTGTGTGGCTGGTGGATACCATGGAACTGCTCGAGCGTGAGCACCACTTTCTCTCCGTGAGCCAGTCCATTCGCGTCGTCTCCGGAAGGTTGGTGGACATCGACAAGGCTAACCGCTGTGTGGCCATCGACAACGCTGTTTTTGAACCCTACGACTACTTGATCTTAGCGACCGGGCGGCAGTATGTCGTGCCGCCGAGTATTCACCAACTCCTCCAACAGGAGGGGCGCGGCGTCCCGGAGAAGTGGATCATTCCTCTTAACAACGACGCCGCATTCCACCGCGCGCGCGAGTCGCTGGATATCCTCAGTAAGAACGTGAATAGCATGCCGAACGTGCTGGTGTACGGCTCGTCGCTAGACGCCTATTCGGTGGTGACCGCTATCATCCAGCGTGAGGGCTTCTCGCCGCAGCGGGTGGTGGTCTGCAGCCGCGACTCCCGCACCCCGCATCTCGACGAGGCCTCCTCGCAGGCGGCGCTCACCGTCCTGCGGTCGCTCGGCACGAACGTCTTCCGCGGCTTTGACCTCGGCCGCATTGAGTTTAACGAGGACGGGGGCCTGACGTCAGTCGTGCTGGAGCCCGTTCTCGCCATGGAGTCTACCCACGCTGTGGAGTCCGCCCACACCACGGCGTCGTCCGTGGAGCTCACCTGCGGTCTGATCCTGTGCGTCGAGGATCAGGATATCGACCCAAGGATTCTTTGCGCGCTCAATAAGCGCTCCATTGTCCTTGACGGCCGCGTTATCGTGGATAAAAACTACCAGACTACCGACCCGCGCATACTCGCGGCGGGACCGGTGGCGATGTGGACCCGACGCTACGGCGTAACCCCCAATTTCGAAGATTTCAGCGCGCGTGACGTTGGCCACGACCTTGCCAGAAAGCTATTGATAAGACTCGGCTTCGCGGAATTCTCAACCGCCCTTCTCTCAAAGCACGATGGACAGGGCAATGACGACCCTTCCGACGACATCGCAAGCGCAGCCGCCGGGGATGGAGTGCTTCCCACCTTTCAGCGCAGTGCCAGCGTCGATAGCGAGGCAATCAGATGTTTTTTGAAGCGAGACGTCGAGCAGGGCGAGGCCGGGACGGGCAGCTATTTCCACCAGCAGGAAAAGACGGGGCCGGATCTCTCGGTGTTTTCGACGCCGCGCGTGTGCCGCGTCGTGTTCCCGTTCGGCTTCAAGTACTTCTCAGTCGAGTGCATTTCCTTCGCGGAGGACGCGTGCGACGTGCTGAGCTGCTCGAACATCTGCAACCTGTCAAAGATGCAGGACCGCCTGCTGCTGGACATGGATAGCTCCACGTCTCTACACCCGAATGCTGAGGAATCCGACAGGAGTGGCTCTGAAAGGATGAATGAGGGCACCATAAATGCTGGGATATGCACCACTGTGGCACCCCCACGATCCTCACAAAGCGTTTTATCGATTTATGTCAACCGTGCGAACCACACGATCGACGCGATACGGTACTTTGGTGATGAATCCCCAGAATTGTACAATTATATGGCTTTGATTGGCTACCCTGAGCTTTTGCTGAACCTTACCTTTCGTTACAAAGAGGCTGCTGAGCGCTCGCGTTTGACACAAGAAGCCCATCTGCCACCAACATGCTGCCTTACGGCCGGCGTCCTCAACCACCAACTTGATCTTATCAACTACCTGAGGCTGCCTTACTTTAGGACCATATTTTCCGATCGCTTTGTTGCGTTCTTCGCGACATTACGGCAGCGAATGCGACAGCACGAGGAATTTATTCGTGTGGAGGAGCAGATTCTCGCGAGGCGCATGACAAATGAGACGTTTGTGCCTTTGACCGAAGAAGAGGCGAATACCCGCATGAAGACACTAACGAATTCCAAGTGTGCTTTTAGGCAGGAAATCGAGTTGGCCTTGGTTCGCTTCTTACATGAGAGTAAGGAGTTTAGACCCAATAATACGTACTTGCCCAATGTCAAGCACTTAGTTGACAAAAAGAAGCCGATTGTGTCGTTGATGTAGAACTGCAATCCGTCATTTTTCCTTCCGCGTTTGGTATAATTGTCGTTAATTTAGGCTGCGTGCAGGTACTGAATCCGTTAAAAGGTGTTTATTTATCGCCTTTTAGCTCATTACCATTTCTCAGATGTACCAAATTATTTCGGTCTATAGTACCGAAGCATATTTTCTTGATATTCCTCGATTTTTTTATTCTTAATGAAAGGAGTAGTATTTCTTCTCTTTAATGGAATCCATGAATCAACCCTTTACACCGCTTTTTTTCTGTTTTTTTTCCCTCCGTAAACGAACAGCATTAGAACCTTGAAAGCGCTATCCACCGAGTTTTAAGAAAAACCACTTTCATAACAAGAAAATACTTTTTAATCTACTGTGATATCCGACTAATGTTTCGCTTTACGATCCCTGCGCTGAAGAAACTCGAGCCACTCGGCCAGCGTGTGCTTGTGAAACGCATCCAGGCCGCGACACAGACGCAGGCGGGCATCCTCATCCCTGAGAAGGTCGCGGGAAAGATCAACGAGGGCACAGTGATCGCCGTGGCTGCGGAGAAGGCGGACTGGAAGCCGACGGTGAAGGTGAGCGATACCGTTCTCCTGCCCGACTATGGTGGAGCAAGCGTGAAGGTGGAAGGAGAGGAGTTCTTCCTGTATGACGAAAGTGTCCTTCTCGGTGTGCTGCGTGATTAAAGTGGGGGCAATTTAAATAATTTATTCCGTCTAGTGCTGCCGTTTTTATTTTCAATGATACTTAAACGAAAATGTCATGATCTTTGAAAGGCTATTATTATTATTATTAAAGCGTTTTTCTACGTCAGTCTTGTGTTCCGGTAGTTCACATTTATGCGTAGAAAATCCAAGCCAAATATGGGCTAATAAGATTATTCACCATACTATTATTATTATTATTGTTACTAATTATTTATCAACAAATCCAGAATTAAATATAATATGACCCTTATTCCGACCGAGCTGTGAGATCTTTGATATAAAATTAAAGGGAACGGAAAGAGTGGAGCGCGGAAGAAGCCATTAACCTAAAATATGTTGATAGCTGTTTTCTAGCCCTGATATGTGTGATCCTGTTGTCGAATTCCTTTGTTTGCCTACTTTTCTCTCCATTATCTGAAGAGTGCGTCAGGGGATGGGTCATACACTTTCCCCAGCTGAGGTTTGTATTCTTCCTCTCCTTCCCAGGATCGAGCATTGATTGCGGTACTGAGACTGTGTCCGTGTTTCAGCCTCAGGCCATGCGGCAGTCCCGCCCCTCTTTTGGGCACATGCTGAGGTGCTTTCTCAGGCTCGCCGTGACACCTTCCTGCCTGCCGGATGGGGCTCCTCTCCTATCAGCTTGGAGCCCCTGGCGCCCTCCTCAGAGCCATTTCTTCTCTAGCAGCGGCGGTGTGGACGCCCTCCCGCCGGGGCTGGTGGCCCCGGCCAAGTTGGACGCTCCGTTGGGCACCCCCGACGACGTCGAGGCCGCCTTCCGGCACTCGGTGGGGGCTCGCACGGTCGGCAACGCGGCCCTGCGCCGCTACCTTCAGCACCTCCTGCCGAAGGACCACTCGCTGGGCGTGGCCGCGCTGAGGGGCGCGCGGGGGGGGGGCTCCACATCACGGCCCCCACCTACGAGGCCCTCCTGGAGCTTCTCATCCGTGCAGGCCAGCTTAGGGCGGGCCTCGAGCTCCATCAGAACATGCTTCACCAGCACATGGCGCCCACAGCCCACGCTTTCGCCCTCCTCATGGAGCTGTGCCTGCAGAGAAACATGCCGAAGGAGTGCCATTCTCTGTTCAAGGATATGCAGAGACGCGGGGTGAAGCCGTCGCCGGTGAACTACGAGCTCATGATCAAGTCTCTGGCGATGGAGAACCCGTCGCAGTGGGAGATGGCGATCGTGATCTTTGACAAACTCTCGCGGGAACGGAACACCCCACGCATCAATGCCAAGACATACAACGCCCTTATGACGGTGTACACGAACATGGAGCCTTTTGATTGGCGTGTGGTGTATAATTGTTACCTTGAAATGCGCAGGCGAACCCCGCGGATTCCGTTGGAATGGGAGAGCTACCTGATTCTTCACGGGGCACTTCTGAAGGGAAAGGCTGGGCATGTGCGACGGTTCTTGGCGCTTTTTGACGCGTGGGTGGCCACCACAGATTTGGCTTCTTGGGGCTTTGTGAAAGGCTTCCTCATTTATATTGCTGTGGTATTTGTCATCAAGTCCATTTTGGGATATTTACTCATTTGGTGTCTTAAGCCCACGTCGACATCAAAATCTTCGGAAGCAGGGGAGTCTATTCTGCCTTCCTAGGTGGTCAACTACTATCGCTGTTATTATGAATATTATTGCTCATCTCCACTTTTCTCTGTTACATCTCAGCCCTTTCGCCATGCCCCGAGCAAACGTGTAGATTTCACATCTGTGTAACGAATAGGGCAAACTCGCACATGGAATGCATAACTTACCGTGATCTCCAAGGAGAGCACAAGAGTAGTCTGAGGATGTTGTGTTCTGAGGTAAATAATTCATGTCTTCTTCTATTTCTTCGGGTATACATGTATTGACAACTTTTTATGAATGTGAACACTTCTTTCCCCATTTTGATGCTTATTACCTTATTACTATCCAACCAAAGCATTGATATGCGACAGAACATTTAAGGGTTGTTATAATATTTTCGTGATTTTTATCATTAGAGCGTCATCAATGGCCCTTAACACGTTCTACAAGGAATTCCCACCGAACAGCGATGAAGCTCGTCTAAAAGAAGAGGTTCGTCAACTTCTTGAGGAGAACGATAGGTCATATCTTGAAAGCGCCTTAAAGTCCGAGATGGATCATTTGAAGAAGCGCCAGAAATTTGCAAACGAACTAGCAAGGCAAAAGCGATCGATGGAGCAGACTATTGCGGAGTTGTCGGAGGAGTTGAAGCACCGCAAAAATACGCGGATGAGAAAGAAGGAGGCTTGCCACGACCTCGACGAATTTATAAAGCGAAAACGGCAGATCGATGAGAAAATGAAGGTTGACCTTCCAGAAATGCGCCTGGCATCCAAAAAAACGTTCTACGAGAGGTTAAAAAACGCCGAGGAGACGTTTGATGAGAAGCGAAAGGAGATCGAGAAGCTGAAGGAAGAAAATGATGCGCTGGCGGTAGTCGTCGAGTCGCTGCAAAACGAATACGAAAGCATGCATACACAAATCACTGTTGAGCGTAAGGAGAAGCTAGAGAAAATTAACAGCATCTTGGAAACAAACCAAAGCTTTGCCTCCGAGGTTGATGACCTCCACGTACGGCTGGAGGTAGTTGTGCGAGAGAAAAGCACCCTACAGAGCAGCATGATCGCGCTAAAGGACCAGCTGTCTGTCTATGAAGTTCAGTACGAACACCTTGTCTCCTCATCTGTGAACCCGGAGGACGTTCAGCGGCTCCTGGATAAGCAGAAAGCCGACAGTGAAGCACAAATGGGGCGTCTTCAACAGGATAAGACAGAGGCGCTGAACCTTCGTGTAAAGCTTGAGAAAGAGCTAGCCGAGCTTCGCAGTCGCCACGTCAGTCTTAAGAAGGAGGTGTCAGACTTGGAGCGCGCGAGGACGGTGGCGGAGAAGAAATGCCGGAAAGCTCAGGAATGTTTGCATAAAATGTCCCAAGACATTTGAAGAACTGGGGTAGGCTGAAGGGGGCACAAAGTCCGGCAGCGTGTATGATGAAGTGCAAAAATTGTTTTCACAGATATGCACTAAGGGATGATCTTATAAGTGTATCTGTGAAATGTATCGTTATTCTTTCACGACCTGAGCATCTTTTTGTTCTGTTTTCTTTGTTTTTTACTGACTGTATCATGTAATCGAATTTTGTCTTTGACTTATATATTGTTTATATTAATAGCACTTTATTTTGTAGTGTTTACCAACAGATTCATTTAATCTTACCCATTGCTTCTAGGTTTAGTAATGCGCTTTACATTTAAGCTATTAAGAAACTCAATTAATTCCAATGGTGAGTCTTCTCTCTATTACCCTTGCTTCCGGCCACGTCGATTAGTAATGCCAGTGGACACCAACGATGTGCATTCACCTAGACGCTTTGGGAATCCCCTACATCAGAAGCATATCGAACAAGTGAACCTTCGTCGGAGTGTCGAGCGTCAGGGCGCGATTAAGCTCTCCAGCGTCCCAGTGGAGCGCACCGTTGGAGATGCCTTCCGTATCATGCTTCAAACATGTGAATCCAATGGGTTCTTTGATAGTTCGAAGAATTTTACACCACCTTCACTTGAGCTTCTCGAGCGTCATCTCCAAGAATGGAAGCAGCTTCAGCCGGCGATGTCCCGCGAGACACCCGAGCCCTGCGCGCACGCATCTATATCCCAGCCAAGCCCATTATGTGTTCCGCCGTCTTCGGCGACCTCCTCGCTTTCGGTGCGTGATATTGACCGGATGTGGTCGCTGCTCGATCGTACCCCGCTTAACGCACCCGTTCACGGCCTGCTCGCCTTGCGCGGGAAGGCATTGGTGGAGGGGGTGATCGGGCGGACCGCCTACGAGTTTTTTCCCCGCCTCCGCTCCAAACATCTTCAGCAGCTGCTCCACGAGACGGCCGGGTTGCTGCCGTGTGCGCGCGTGGCCATCCGCCTTGGCTTCGCCGCGTTAGCCGGGGTCGAGGGGGAGATCGGGATGTGGCGTGAGCTCAACATTTTACAGCAGCGCCTGGACGTCGCCCGCGGAAAAGCCGCGGCGCACCGGCAGCGCCTGGAGAGGGGGGTCGCGGCCCAGCGGCGATGGTACTGGAGGGCGGTGCTCCGCGCCGCTTCGGGTCGGCTAAAAATGTTTCCAGTCGAGCCCGGGGATCTCTTCCCACGCATGGAGTGGATACGTAGTTTCGTTTTCGCTTTTGTCGCCTTCCTTGAGATGGCGGAGCGCTCTGCCGACCAAAATGTGAAGGTCACTCCCTTCATTTTGAAACTTTTTTGCGCGCAGATTGGCGAATTTTCCCATACCAAGCATCTATTAAACTGTGCGAAGACTTGCATCGCATTTGAGGAAAACAACGGTTATCGATCCGGCCTAGATGCCACCATGAGAGACGAGGCCATTTCCCATTTTCGCAATATCATCGACGCCATCCGGCATGAAATGCAGGAATACACGCGCCGAGCCCCTGCAGAGCTCGACGTTCTCAACGCCAAATCCCACCCTCTGAACGACCGCGCGGACCGTCGTCGCGAGCAATTCGAATCGAGTGGGGGTGCAGTGGCGACCCAGACCCTGCGTGATGATATTTTCGACGCTTACGAGGTCGAACGGCATCGTCGCGAGGCCCCCGCGATGGTGTTGAACGCCCTACGCACGACTAACGCCTTGAAAGAGGCGCAGTTAATTCTGAAGTACGCCCCGGGCATCGCGCGGTCCGTGCGAAATACTTTAATCGATGTCGATCCGGTTGTCCGACGGACGGTGGAGGTGCACGAGACGAATAACTACGCCACGCTCCACAACGCACAGCAGTACCGACAGGTGGAGTACACGGTCTGCCGCCTGTATGCTGGGGCGCAGGCCATCGGAGAGGGGAAAGGGGAGACGTTGATGGAGGCCATCAACGAAGCCGCGCAGCATACCCTTTTTAACTACTACGTTCGAGGCTCGATACCGACGGAAATGATCGCCGACAAGGATGACAACGTCGGGAGTGACTGTCCGGAACCGAAGCGAAATGCCTCCAATGAGGCGAATCGCAAAGCCGGTGTAAGCGGGACCGTTAGGATTCACGAGGTAAAAACAGAAGAAGAAATGCTCTTTTAACCTTCTAGCATAAGCAAAATGAGCGGCGTACGTGCACATAGGTGGTAACAGTCCAGGTTGTAAGATTATCTCCCTTATTTTTTTACTTTGGCTCCTTTGGAGACTTAAATACTGTCAAAAAATTGAAATACCAGTGGGTAGAGTTTTAAAAGAGATATGAGGGAATACTATCGTTACTTTGACTTATAAATCTGCTCAACTTCAAGGCCTTTACTTCTCATCTGGGTAAGTTTTTAATTTAGATTAACATGAACTATACATAAATGTAAATGTATATCTGAAATTATCACCTCCCTTCCTCCATTTTTCTTATAGTTTTTATCCTCCCCTCCTTCGCTTTATTGACAAAAAGCGCGTTAGACTGCGTGGACTGGACTTTGCTCTTGTATTAATTATGTCTGTAGCGAGATCTGCGTATCGTCATATTCTTAGTTTGATCTCCAAATCTCCCCAACGTGTCGAAGATCTGGATGATATTTGCTTTGCACTTTTTGGGATTATATTAAATCGATCCGATTTTGCCGTCGCCGGGTATGGAAGTGACTTGAACGCGATTGTGCGGAACTGCTTTCTTCGTCCCACAATCCCCGATGACCCGCGGGATAGCGCTTCCTCGCGTTTGGCAAGCAGCTTTGTCGTCCTACGTAAATTACACGAGGTCGAGAATTCCCGTGCGTGGCAGTTAGCACGGGAACGACGCAAAGGATTGCTAACTCGACCCAATGGTGAAATTACGGATCCGGGCAGTGCCCAAAGTGTCCCCCAGGCACCTTCCGAAATCGCAAATACCTCACAAAAAGAGGAGAAAAAGGAGCGAAAAGAGGCCAGTGCGCATCGCGTTTTGGGGGCTGCGGATGAGACGTCGAACCCGGCGGCCGGGCTCGAGGCGGTGCGGCGTCTAGCCGCGAGCAAAGGCTTTGATGCGCGTCAATTTCTCGCGACCGAGGCGACCTCCGCGAACGAGGACGACAACATCGTGATTGGAGATGCGACGATCTTTATCGAACGCCCGAAGAACCACCGGGTGCAGAAATGCAGTCGACATTTGGTGATTTGCCGCGATCGGGTGCGGATCCCGCCCTACTCCTATTTGCTCCCCCCTGAGCCGATGTACCACACCAACATCCGCCACGACTTTCCCTTTCACTTCATGAACGACGCGATTATCTGTTTGGCGGCGCGGAGTGCACGGCTGCGGGATGCGGCCCCCGCTCGCGAGGGCGGGCGAGATAAAGGGGGGGGGGCGCTGCTCAAACGCCCGCGGTCCCTGGCGGGGCTTTACCAGCTCCTCCGCGGCATCCCCACCCACACCATCCTCCGCACGGACTTTGTCGAAGTGGAGGTGGGCACGCAGTTTGTCTGCTCAAACCGGCCCGGGGGGGAGACGGCGGCCGCCGCGGGGGAGCCTGAGGGGGAGGGCCCGAAGCCAACCCCGGACGGGCCGCCGCAGCATCTCTTTATTTACCACGTTTTTATTCGCGTTTTGGGCCCGCAGGAGGGGGCGAACCCCCGACGGTGGCATGCGCAGGTGATGTCCCAGCATTTGGCCGTGATGGACCCCGCGCGGGGGGCGGTGGTGGAGATGGTGCGGCCGGGCGTAGTGGGCAATTTCCCCATGTTGGCCCCGGGCGAGTCCCATGCCTTTGAGTCCGGAACGAGCATTGTCGGCGCGGACGCGATCCTCCGCGGCACCATCCAACTCAATGCCTTTAATGAGTTCGGCGAGATGCGGACGCTCGACATTGCGATGGCTCCCACAAGGCTCTCCGTGCCGATGAAGAAGGATGGGCTGTCCAAAGAAGTGGCGCCCACCAAACAATCGGCAGGCGCCACTTCCGAGGTGAGTGGTGTGAAAACCGAACCCACAACCGCGACGCGCTAACGCAAGGTGTGCTAAGGATATTTGTGGTGGCAAATGGGAACTTTGTGAATCACTAGAATCTAGATCACCAAGGAATTTTCTCATCGATCTGTGTCAGCTCACCTGATTGAGATGACTGAATAATACATACATATACGTATATATATATATCTATTATGTATGTATAAATTCCGTGTTAAGATATGTAAATTAATCAGTGAGATAAAAAGGCAATCGTTGGTTATTGCCTTTTTATGGAACTGTACGGGATCACTGCGGTGTCAGATATCAGGTTTAAAAAAAAATGCCAGTTCTCTCAGTTATAAAAAATAAGATAACTGCAGATACACTTTATACATATAGTCAAGCGTTTTCATTGATCTATCTAATAATAATCCGTTTTTTCTACCGTTAAAAAAATAGGGTTATTTAATTTTTGTCTTCCTAGAGACGTTAACCGTAGTTTTTTAGGATTTTATAGAGCTCACATTTCCATAAAACTTTCTTAGTCCATTTGATTTTTTGGTCTTTCTACTTCTTTTTTTTTTTTTCAAGGATGGGGGGTTGCTATCTCTCCCATTTTTTATGCTAACCCAGTTTAATGGTTTGTTCTCCTTCAGTTTAGCTTTACTATTATTTCAACATCTTTTTTTTTTACCCATTGTTATTTTAGGCGTCGAAAGCACAGATTACACAGGATTTCATCACAAGCGGTCTTTTTTTCTTTTCTTTTTTAAGGCCTGAATATGGAGAATGCCCCAGGTACTGCGATCGAGCAGTATTTAAATCAGCTCATCCAAATGGGTTTAGTATCCCAGCTGGTTCTCTCTGACCGCCAAGGGAACACCATCCTCTCCTGCTTCGGTCCCACCCCATCGGTCCCGGCCAAGACGACCGACGAATTCCTACGGGGTGCCTCATCCAACCTGACGAGCAGCGCCATGCCCAATCCACCCCTCCCCTATGGAGGGGGGCGGAGTGGAAAAGGCATGACGCTGGAGCCCTCCACGGAGGACTTGACGAACGCCGCCGCCGAGGAGGCGATGCCGATCGAAAGCAATGTCGTTTTAAGCGGCGCGCGATGCTTTCAAAATCTCGAACAGCTTCAGCTTGGGGTCCCATTATACATCAGTGCCCAGTACCATGATGCCGTGGTGGTGCAGGCATTGGATAAATGTGCTTTCTTGACGTTGATTGGATACCGCTCCCAAGGTCATTGCATTGGCGGTCTCTTGACATTGATTCCTCAGATTCGTGAAAGCTCAGTTTACCACGAAATAGCCGCAAAACTAGAAAAGTGCTTTCAATAAAAAGGTGTGAACGTTTTTTTTTTTAAGAGAGAAAGTGTGTGTGTAGGGGTATGGAAAATAGTGTTGCGGGTTTGCTGTTTTGACAATAAGAAAGGTATACTAAAAGAGACTTTGGTATGGTTTATATTTGGTTTTCATTATCCTTTCTATGACAGTTCAAACTTTTATCCATTGTTGGTGTCTTCCTGTGGTCTCTTGTCAACGAGTTCAATATGATACCACGATGTGTGCATCGTCTTTCGAATTCCTTTTAGTTTCTATTTTATTCTTTCTATCCTAGTCAAGGCACTACCGGCTAGTCGGTAAAGGATAACCGACCAAACCCTTTACATAAGGGGAGGTGTTTGTTTGTTTTTTAGATAACACAACCCCAATTTCCCACTGCCATGACCATTGAGCTGGTCTCTCGCATCTCCAATTTGTCCCCGAACGTGACCGAGGACCATCTTCGCGAACTCCTCAGCATGGGCTCTTTGGGCGAACGCGCCGTGAAAATAAAGAAGATTCTCCTGCCCAGACCGGTGGGCTGGCAAGCCTGCCCAAGCGGGCGCGCGGAAGTTGTCGGGGCGACGGAAACCGACACCATCAAAGTCTACGGCCTCCTCCACGGAGCCGTGGTGGATGGCAGTCGGGTTAACGTGAGTTTTGCCAAAATTAACTATGCCCTGTCGCCGATCGAGAAGCCGATGATTAAAGGCGGCCGGACGACGGCCCTCGCGCGCGGAAACGCCCCTCGCAGGGTCGCTCACCCCGGGGATTCCCCCACCCGGGGATTGAAAAACCGCGGTGAAAATCGTAGGAGCCGTAGTTGGAGCTCGTACTCGCGGTCATCATCGAGGTCGTCGGATTCATCGCGCTCGTCAGAGCCTTATAGGAGACGCCGCCGACGCTGGAATCGAAGTCGGAGTGCCTCCTACTCCCCGCATTCGCATCGACGGCGAGGGAGCCCTCATAGGAAACATATTCGACATTCCAGCCGCGATGCCTCGTCCACATCTTCGTCGTCGTCGTATCGTTCGTACTCACGCTCACCCTCGCGAAGTGTTAGGGGGCGGCGAACCCGGTCTGGATCGTTGTCAAGGCGGCATAGAAAAGAAAGAAGAATCCCACGGCAGCGCTCACCACCTCTCAAAGGCCAACGAGGAGTATCAAAATACAACTGAACGACTGGCATTATTTATTATTGTGCGAAGGCATCATAAGTGAATTATCCCTCTCCTCTTCCCCTATTTTTTTATTGCCGTTCCATCTGTCGCCCATTTTGCTCAACATAATTATAGATGAATCTTATGGAGCATAGCCGTTTGTGGGAGATAAATAGTAATTTATCCCTTACAAGGGATTCTTATTTTTGTATACGGTGGTGTTAGATGTAGAACAGGAGGGAGCGGGAGGGGAGTGTTGTTTCCAGTGGAAGGTTCAGTAATACCTAATGGGTTTAATTTTTTTTTCACTGTAGAAGTTTAGATCTGCAAAGCATCCTGTTTAAGAAGTGCATTTTTAAGAGTTCCAGGTCATCAAAATGAGGAACCTAATGATGAGTTAAGCTACCACCTAATATAATAATAATAAATCTACTTCCTCACATGTTTTATTCTTTTATTGAGCGACTTCTGATCCCATCTATTTCAATCTACTAGATTAGACATCGCTTACGAAGCAGCGAAGGGATCCAACCGCTCCCCCACGAGCATTGCCTATTCCTTCCATTGCAGCTTCCTCAGCCTTACACCTTCTTTGATAACCATTGTCGTGCATAACCTATTGATAGAATATTAAAGACCCAAAGGTATAGAGCTTCACACCTTTGATTATTGTTACTAGAAAGGGATCCACCCATTTTTACTTTTTAAAATAAAAAAACTAATGAGTAGTGTTTACGATTCTAGCGGATTCAGCTCCCGGGACGATTCCATCCCACTCGGGGAGAACGAGTCGGACTACCTTGACGACGAGGGGAGTTTGTACACCGGGACAGAGGAGGCTGAGGACTCTTTGGGGAACGTTAAACGCGCACGGCGGGGTGATGGCAGAGGCGCCGCGAGCTCCGGGGTCACGGGCCAGTCCAGCCAGTTTTATTCCGGCCAGACGAGCTACCGCACGGCGTCGGATACGATCAGCCAGCCCCTCCCCTACGAGTCCGAGGACTACAGCTCGGGCTACGGCTCCCTCAGCTACGACTACGACTCCAGCGACCTCCGCTCGGGCTCGGCCTCCGAGCTCAGCTCGACGCTGCTGACTTTTTTCAACAAAAATGAAACCATCGCGCGGGTACGGGAGATGGGGTACTTCTTCCGCCGGCCGATTTTGTTTTTTCTCTTCTCGGTCGGCGGGAATGGGGCCTTGGCGGGGTTTTTTCGCGCCATGCAGGTGTGGACACCTCGGGCGGCATCGGTGGGGTCAAAGCTTTCGACGGAGGCCCTGAGTTCGCTCGCCGAGGCGGAGCCTCGGATGCTGGGCTACCCGAACGTCCCGAATTGGCTGCGGGAGGTGCGTGCGGCGCTCCCGGCGGCGGTGGAGCGCCCGGCCGCGTGGGTTTTGCGATCCCGCGGCGTCCCGATCCTCTCGGAGCTGCAGGAAGCCTCGCGCCTCGCGGAGGACCACCTCGCGAAAAGCCTCTGCGACTCCGCCGTGAGCTGGAAAAACGCAGGGCAGATGATCCCAATCGGGATCTTTCTCCCCATATTCACTTACTTTACCCTGTACATCGCCTCAAATGTAATCGCCAGGCGTCTGGGGAAACGTCGGCTCCTCCTTTTCGACGACGACCTTAGTCAGGTCGATGCCATCTCAGGGGTCGAAAGCCCCAATTATTCAAGAGAATATAGTGCCCTCATGTATGGTTCCAACCTGAGGTTAGGATTCGCGAAAGCTGAGGAGGGGGACGATCGCCCGGCCTCAGTCACTACCGCACCGGCCAGCATGCCGCAGCATCCGATAAACGAAGGCGTCATCGATCCATCCAAAGAAGGCTCGAAGAGTCATCTGCCGAAACTCGATTTACCCACAAAGAGCATGGGCCCTTCTTTATTCTCCGGAATAGACCTCGACGGTAATTTGGATGGACAGGAGGAATTACCGGCCACGACGCGGCCGCGGGGGGCGACGCTGCGACCTGACAAAAACGCGCCGCCGACGTCCTCGCCGGATGCCATGGGGGCTGCCCTTTTGCCGATGAATTCGACCTTGCCATCGCGCGAGTCGTCATTTCCGCAAAATACTCCCGTTTTTTCCCTTGGGGGGGGATTGCCGACCCGCGGCGTCGTCCAACTACGAGGGCATCAAATCCTCCTCGCGCTGATCGGCACCCCGTCGGTAATAGAGAGCAATGGGGTTCTGGTGGCGGCCTTGCGGTATGGGATGCCCGCTGTTCTTCTGCCGGCTACCATGGCTAACGAATCTCGCTTGATGGAGGTACCTAATACCGAGCTCCAGATCGAGTTCGCGCACGACATGCTATCGTGCGCACTCGATCATGCGGAGAAGTACTCCCTGGAAGTCATCGCGATCCATCAAACGAAGGAGTTCGCCCCGGACGCCACTTCATTGTATACTTTCTCCCATCCAGTCCGCGCGCTCTATCTTTTCATCCCGCCTTCTCAGGAAGAGGCTTTCGCGCCCGTTATGGCTCAAGCCTCGACAACGCGTATTTTCGTGGGCACCGCCAACCACGCTCAGCGGAGGATCCCGGTCAATGAATGTCTCTACGATCGGTTGAGCAAAGAACAAGGATGATGGCCCTTTCGCACTAGGCGGATATTCCGTCTTTTCCTTGTCATTACTTATGTTATTATTAGTAGAATTATTACTCTTGCTACAATGATCCAGCGGCATATAGGTAGAGTTTTCTTCACATTAGCGATGTTGCGTTTTGTTCTTCTCCAACGCTACATCGTTAGTATCAGGATAAGGGGGTGATCTTTTTATGAGGAAGCCGCGACCCTTCTTTGACGTTTCTTTTTCTGTGTGTGGCTCGATTTTAAAAAAATTGCTTATGCATAGTATCTATATATATATATATATTAATATATATTCTGGAACAGTTTATTGAAGCAAGGAATCATAGATATAAAATTACGTCATATAGTTTTTTTCGCATGCAAGACCTCTATAGATGTGTTGGTTTTGCCTTCATACTATTACTCTATGCATAACCTACAACTCATTTTTAATAATAAAGCAAATGATGAGATCCATTGTTAACAGATTTGTAAAGAATGCATCCATGTTATATCACGACTTATTAATTACTTTAATTTTTTTATCCCCCTTGCTCTATAATTTCAAGACGGACTTGAGTTTAGCCACAAACAAATATAGTGTTATACTACTTTATGCCTAACTAGATATATATGTGGTATTTCCTTTCCTCCCCTTTCAATAGTTTATAATTGATTGACACGTTCTGAAAGATCATGTCATGCATGACGTCTGAAATATATGGCACGTCTCTTGTGTCTGTGATACTTTTCCTCTTTTTTTTTGATTCGTTGAAATGAGGTTACACGTGTCAACAAAAAGGAAAAATATCTTCGGGGTTGCCATCTCCTCTTAAGGAGGGTCTAGTAGGAGCTTCTTCCGCTTATCCTCTTTGTTCTGAATTGAATGATACGATACCAACACCGTAGAAATAAAACTCAAAAATGCAATGAGCCTAAAAATTGACTTATATGATGTATTTCCTTCACGTGAGAAAGAATCCTTTCTTTGATCCACGGAGTTTGCTTCCCGTCTCGAGGAACGGCTCCATTTGGACGTCGCGAACCACCACGAGCTTCCCTTTTCTCAAGCGAACGCCACTCCCGTTCATCCTCCTTTAATGATCCTCCTCCTCTAAGTGGGGATTCGCGATGGGGAGAAGTCTCTCTCCCAACATCGGCCTCTAAGAAGCCCTGCAGGTTCCCTTGTCAATGCTTGTGAAAACGGGCGATGGTGGACGGGGCGCCATAAACGGGAGGCCCCCTGCCTCAGCCCTTGGAATCCTTTGGACGATCCTCACGCGGTCGTGGCTCTCGGTTACACCACCCTGGCCTGATCCTGGGTAATCCAACAGCCTCTCTTTTCTCCTCGCACTGAGCCGTCTTGAGGGAGGGGGGGGGGGGGGGGGGGGCGACTTATATTAAAGGACCTTCCCGTGGGGAGGTTGAGCTGCACGACCACCACTGCCGCGTGAGGGGTTTATTGTTACACGCCGGGTGCACTGGGGACCGTGGATGGACTTGAGACGATGGCACGTCGGTGCTTTTCCGTCGTCGTGACGCGACGGATGGCGGCGACGAAAATTTCAGGTTCAGCGCGTTTCTGCATCTAAAGAATGAGCATCCTCCGCGCCCAAGCAGATTCTGGACTGATATCAACCTCCTTCACCCGAGCTGCCTTTTGCGCGTACCGGAAGAGGAAGTGGTAGGTGAATAGCCTGTGGATTTCGAAAATGCTGCTCCCCCGGGGCTGTCCTATAGGATCGAGAAACATTCAGGTAGGTTTTCCACCGTCCGGATGGATACTTAGCAGCAGGATTGGAAACGGGTGGCGTTTCTTAAGTGGTACCTATCTGGGCAAACAAAGAGCACAGAGAACAAGGACTGAAGACCTTGTAAGGTTGGAGTAAAGAAAAAGATGTCTATATATATTGGGTTGTATAAGATATTTTAAGAAAAACAAATATGCATGACAAATTTATACAATGGTACTAAATCGCCCAAGACAACTGGGTTTTTATCGCATAATTTTTAATCTTTATAATGTTTCAGATTTTTTATTCTCATAATGCAATTGTCAAATCTTTTTATTATTATTCTAATCTGGGTTTCCTGCACTATCCCTTCACCTAAGATGAGATTGTGCGACTAGCTTATCCATGTTCCTATTTCTTTAAGATCAACCTTTGCCAGATGTATTTAGTGGGTATAGCAAACCAAATACATTCGATATGATTTTAATTAAATAATGATTCTAAAGCATCGTTTTATACATAGGTTTTAATTTATTCTTATGTCAAGTTTTAGTACTGGTAAGTCTAAAAGAACTATTATTTATTTTATCCATGATAAATCGTTGGAAAACATAATATCCAAACATAATTTCGATGATTATTCGATATAATCCATTAAGATAAAAGAGAAAATCAAAATGTTCTCTAAGAATCGTTATATTGTCTATAGTGTTTGGTTATATGTTTTGGAATGTTTTTTTTTTGATCTTTCTGCGTGTGAGGGAGACAAAAGGCAAAGTGTATATCTTAAATGTGTAATCCAATCGTCATTATTTCCTTTAAATACACATACGATCTCATCGTCATCAATTCGGATTCGAGTGCG